TAAAGCTTAAATTTAAAATTTGATGTTTTTCTCTATGTTCGTTTTTTAGTTTTTGTCAAAATTCGAATTTTACACTTTTTGTTAAATATCTCGAATACGGTCCATTTTAGAGAAATTTTCTATAGGATAAAAGTTATAGAGAATAATATTAGAAGTAACTTTTATTTGAAGAATTTTCTTCTCCAAACGTAAATAACAGTTATATTTCATGAAATATAAAAATGGCCTCCTATAAAGTACCCCCCCAGATGTTCCCACTCTGTCTAAAATCGAATCAGTTCACCACAGGTCGGAATAAAGCTTAATTTTAAAATTTGATGTTTTTCTCTTTGTTCGTTTTTTATTTTTTGTCAAAATTCGAATTTTACACTTTTTGTTAAATATCTCGAATACGGTCCATTTTAGAGAAATTTTCTATAGGACAAAAATTATAGAGAATAATATTAGAAGTAACTTTTATTTAAAGAATTTTCTTTTCCAAACGTAAATAACAGTTATATTTCATAAAATATAAAAATGGCCTCCTATAAAGTACCCCCCCAGATGTTCCGACTCTGTCTAAAATTTAATCAGTTCACCACAGGTCGGAATAAAGCTTAAGTTTAAAATTTGATGTTTTTCTCTTTGTTCGTTTTTTAGTTTTTTTCAAAATTCGAATTTTACACTTTTTCTTAAATATCTCGAATACGGTGCATTTTAGAGAAATTTTCTATAGGACGAAAATTATAGAGAATAATATTAAAAGTAACTTTTATTTGAAGAATTTTCTTCTCCAAACGTAAATAATAGTTATATTTCATGAAATATAAAAATGGCCTCCTATAAAGTACCCCCCCAGATGTTCCGACTCTGTCTAAAATCGAATCAGTTCACCACAGGTCGGAATAAAGCTTAATTTTAAAATTTGATGTTTTTCTCTTTGTTCGTTTTTTATTTTTTGTCAAAATTCGAATTTTACACTTTTTGTTAAATATCTCGAATACGGTCCATTTTAGAGAAATTTTCTATAGGACAAAAATTATAGAGAATAATATTAGAAGTAACTTTTATTTAAAGAATTTTCTTTTCCAAATGTAAATAACAGTTATATTGTATAAAATATAAAAATGACCCCCTATAAAGTACCCCCCAGATGTTCAAACTCTGTCTAAAATCTAATCAGTTCACCACAGTAATATCTATTAAAATAATGTACAGAGGAACACATATATGTCTATCAAAATTAAATACAATACCCATA